ATGTGTTTTCTTTAATAATTAATTTTCATCATATAAATAATGTCATCTTCCAATTTACTAAGTTTATGGACTAAAAATATGAATCTCACTCTTTGATGATTTAAAAGAACAATCATTATATGCACGTATCAGTTAAATATCTCAGAGTTAAGAACTTAAGTAAACCATAAGGTATTTATTTTCTTATTTAGTTCGTAAAAAGATAATAATTTCAATAACGGTCAATTCAATACACAATCGTAGCATCAAACAGTCTCTTATAACCAAGATAAATTAAGTCATAAGATTGCACTATAATTCTATTGATGGTATGTCTAATTCCATCTAAGACTATGAACCTTTACTCATATCATAGAAGGGTCCGATAATTAGGTCTTCTGTATATAAACTAAACTTTACACACCAAATACTATCTATAATATAAAATAAAAGACACACATCCATAGCATATATTTAATATAATACAAATATTTTATCCATATAGATTCTTAATAAAAATAAATAAAGAATTTTTATTAAATAATAAACTGAGTTTCACAATCAAAATAGAAAGTCAACCAAGGGTTGGTTGAGCTTCTTGAACCTAAAGACTAGATAAGGGGGTTGAACAGGAGATCTCAAATATTACTAATTCTATTGAGTTTTTAGTCATTTGATAAAAGATTGTTGAATTCTTAAATATTAGATCCAAAAAATTAAATAATGAGGGTGTCATTGAAATAGACATTTGATTCCCTAAATCCAATATTTGTAATAGTTAAAAATATTCTTTGCTATAATTTTCGATTCTTTAAAGTTACCTTTGATTTTAAACAATCTTATTTTATAATAACTCTATTGCCATGTAAATTATCTAGATAATAAGGGATGAGACATTTTGAATTTCTAAACACATAAAAATGATTTTTATTTTTTGCAGTTCAAATCGTTCAAAATTTGATTTAATTTTTGATATTAACTGACAAAATTTTGTATTCCCTCCCTCACGTTGACTCCCTCTCTTCATCCCTCAATTGAGCAAAGGCCTATTAATTGTGTCGGGTGAGACAGATTTGTGTCGGGTTTTAAAAGGTTCATATAAAAAAATACTTCAGTCATATCCAATTTATATATTAATTCCCATCTAATAAATCGTATCATATCAAATTTTGTATTATGTATTAATCGTGTATAACTAGCATAAAAATAAGTCATATGTATTTATTTTAGTAACTTTACTCATATCTGATTCATTTTTTAATTGTATTATATCGGGTTTATTTTTTTACCAAACAAGTGACTTAAAAAAGATTCAAATATTTTAATTTTGTATTATGTTCGTGTCTGGTTAACTAGCTGGGATATCCTTATACAAGGTTTATTTTCCTAGGCAGAAAGGGGATAAGAACTAGTGACTGAACGAATGAGTGAAACGGAGTTGACAACAGAAGAATGATGGCATGCCATGCAGGGCAGATGAGATCAAATAGCTGATCAGTACTAAAACAACTAGGAACCCCTTAAGGGTTCATTACCTTCACTTAGGATGCATTGCACTTGCTTCGAGAAAGAGTTGGTCCAGATAATGCTCTGTACACATAATACATTCTTATGCAAGCAACACTAAACTATCAGCTAAGTCGGCTACAAAACAAAAAGGTGGATGAGAAAGTCATAACACTAATAGGGCTAAGGTCCGTCCTTTGAATATGAACTCTCTTATGAGATGAGCTAAAATCATTTTCCACCTTGCGGTCAGGCCTAATAACAAAGGCATCAACCACAACAGAAGTTAGGTTTCATCATTCATCAAAGGGTTCTTCTCTTTAGTGTTATTCTTTCCTTCCCATCGACTTTTTGTGTATGATTTTATTTCATCTTAAGTTATCAAATTTGGTGCTTTTTAATCTTCAGTTGTTATGGGAAACAAAGGACGAAATACAATCGATTCCACCATTTAAGTGGTTCTCGCTTGTCCTTATTCTTGTTCCTAACTCCTCCTCGGGTGGTTCCCAATGTTTGACACTTTCCATACTTCATGGGTGCAACATCAACAAATTCGCTTGTGATCAAGTTACAACCAAAGATCTATGACCATATTATTCTAACTGTTCGTCTTTCATTCATTCCCTCGGTATGCTCCTAGGTACCAATCCTTAATTCAATAGGTCAATACACCATAAATCAAAGGGTAAATTACATTAACACCCCCTAAACTTTGCCACTAAAACACATAGAGCCCCTCAGGTATGACATATTACAATGGCACCCCCTGTTAATCATAGTCAACTAACACATCTAACGGAAATTTTAAAAGGACTATTTTGCCCTTATTCAAAATAAACAAAACCAACCTAGACCAAACCCAATACCAAACACGAACTGATCGACCCGAAACCCAAACTTGACCCAACCCTTATTTTGCCCTTACATTTGATTTACATCTCTCTCCATTCCACTGCCCACCACCGACCCCTATCTTTCTTTCTCAATTCTATCGATAACCGCCCACCAACATAGAACCTCTCCCATCTACCTCTCTCCAATACCCACCACCAACCTTCTCTCTCTGTGTTCTATCACTAACCACCCCCTGGTGGCTAGATAAATGGTGGCGATGAGAGGAGGGTAGTGGTGGCAATGAGAGGAAGAGGGTGGTGGCTGGGTAAACAGTGGTGAAAGGAAACGTTTGATAGAGAGTTGGGGTTGGTGAATTTTCAGATTTAAGAAGATTTCAGATTTTGGAGAATTTTGGATCTAGGTTTAGGTGTAGCAGAGAGAAGGGAGAAAATCCATACATGTGATAGGTGATGGTGATGACGCTGGTGGAAGTGGTGTTGGTGGTGGCTCTGGTGTGGCAGTGTTGTGATGGGTGATAGCACTGGTGTCGGCGATGATTGTGGCTGTGGCTCTGGTGTGACGGTGTTGTGGAGGTGGTTCTGGGCTGTGACTCTGGTGTGACGGTATTGTGGTGGTGGTTCTGGCGCTGACGGTGCTATGGTAGAAGTAGAGATGAGAATTGGTAGTGGAGATTTTTGGGTTGTGGCTCTGGTATAACGGTGTTGTGGTAGTGGTTCTGGGTTGTGGCTCTTGTGTGGCGGTATTGTGGTGGTGGTTCTAGCTCTGGCAGTGTTGTGGTAGAAGGAGAGAAGAGAGTTGGTGGTGGCTATGAGTTTGGGTATTAGGGTTTTAATTGAAAATTAAAAATTATTAATTTTTATTAAATTTTTATTGAAATGGTGATAGGGTAATTTGAGAATTTTATATAAAAGGAATACTTATGTCATCAAATTTTAACAGTGAGTTTAACAGATCTTGGTGACAAGAGTACTCTTTGTTACATGCGCACATATTTTAAGGGATTTTAGTGTAATTTTTTAAACGTGAGGTAGTCTGTTTGTTCATGTGACAAACCTCGGAGAGTTCGAATGCAATTGACCCTAAATCAAATGTAGGGATGGCACTAGACCGAGAAAAAACAGGTATTCGTCCAAACCTGCCTCGTTTGGACCGGGAATGAATCATATATATTGGATAGCAAACATATACGAGGATACCTGTATAAACCCACACAGAGATGAAGGCGGGGATAAACTGACACTTATCCCTGCCCCAACCCCTGCCCTAATATACCCGTTATATATTCTAGTTATTCTCCATGCCTGAATGCACGAAATAATAAAAAAAAATAGTCAATAATAAATATATTTGTATTCACACCCAAAATCATATCACAAATATAGATGAGAGAGAAAGAAATTTAAGTATCGATTGTAGTGAAGGTTGAGCGATGATAGTGGTGGTGGGCAGTAGTAGTGATGGTGGGAGACGATGATGGTTGTGGTGGTGGCGGCGGCAGCTGTGGGTGGCAACGGTGATGGTGATGGTGGATTTTGGGTGACGATGATGGTAGTGGCGGTCGTAGGTGACAGCGGGTGGTGATGGTGGTAGGTGTGGGTGGTGCTGGACAATAATGATGGTAATTGATAGTGGATGGTGGTGGGGCTACAACGGTGGTTGTGGGTGATGACAATGATGATGGTGGGTAATGATAGGTGTTTTTAGGCGACAATGTAATGGGTAGTGGCTAATGACAATGGTGGTGGTGATAAGTGTGGTGGGGGTGGGTGACAGTGGGAGACGATGGTAGTGCGATGACGGGTGGTGGTGGGTGCTAACGATGGTAATAATAATAAATATAAGAATAATATGACAATGGTAATGGGTGGTAGCAGTAGACGACGATGGTAGCAATCAATGATGAGTGACGGTGGACGACGATAGTAACAATCGGTGGTGGGTGACGGTAATGGTGGGGCAATGGGGGTAGGGTGGCGTGGAGGTGAAGGTGGGGTAATGGCGGTGTCAACAGTGGTGGCGACGACGACGGTAGCAGTGGTGGGGTGGCTGTAGTAACGATGGTGGTGGTAGTTGTAATAGTCAGGGGGATGGTGGTGGGGGTAGGGTGCGACAACAGTGGTTGTGGTGGTGAAGGGCGAGGATGGTGGTGATGGGGGGTGGGGGTAGTGGAACGGTGAAGGTGGTGGTAGTGGGGCGGTGAAGGTGGTGGGGTGAGGTTAGTTGTGGTGGCGGTGGTGGTGGTGGGGCGGTAGGGATGGTTCTAAACATTACTTTGTTTTTTTTTAAAGTACTTATGCGAAATAAACTCTAGAAAACACTTTTAAAAAGTCACTTCAAATATACCTTTAAAAGTATATTTTTTATATTAAATTTATGGTGTTAATATTAGCTGTCAGATTAATTTTAAAGTAAAATTTAAAGAGATTTAAACCGCGAATAACAAAATTCATTTTAAATTTTAAAAGATAAACAAAATAATTTTTGTTATTCGTGATTCAAATCATTTTTAAAATTATCTAAATATGATCCAAAGGTTGAAATTAGCTTGAGAAAAAAAAAATTCTGCCCAAAACTTTAGACTTGGTCTTTCACGTGAGTCCCTCTTCTTAGCCCTAATTCAACATGGCTTCTCTCTCACGCGAGCACACCTCTTCTCTTTTTCTGCCTCCTTTCTCTCTCCCTGCCTCTCCCTCCGTCTCCCTTTCTTTCCCATCCCTGAAGCACCCATCGATAGTTGGAAAAGCATTGATCGTCTCTCGATCTTATCAGATACTACCTGCTGTCGCATCTGGTGAACCACCAACGACAGGTAATATTTGAACTTACCCCCATCTCTGTCTTCACACTTTTTGTCTTCCTCACACAGCCTCTACTTTCTCTCACAGATTTCACTCCCTTCTCCCGTTTAATATGCACACATTTCAGCTACCACCACAGGCTCCACCACGTTCAGCCCCCCAACACACACCCTATACCATGGTGCCACCCCATACCCAACCCAATACAACAAACCCCTACCTTCAGCACAACACATCCACGCACCCACACCCACACCTCTGTGCATACACTCACATGCATTGATTAACTCCCCTCTCTATTTTTTTCCCAGCAGCTCATGTACACTCTGATCCCACACACCATAGCCACTAAACTGGTGTTCGCTGTTGCATAATTTCAAACTCACTAGGTCACACTCACCAACTGTTCGACCAAATGCCCACAAAAGACATTGTCATATGAACCCCCTTATCTCACCCTACACGCTCTAACAACTTCCACAAGGCCTTCCGCTGCCCACAATACTACTGTTCGATTTTCTATTTTTTTTTATTTGTTGAAGTAAATTTCATATGTTCTTGCTACCTTGATTGTTTTTTTTTTTTTTTGCCTGATTTCAAATGTTCTTCCTGGCTATTAGAGAAGTATGTATTTTACTCGTGGGCGGGTGCCTTGTGACTATGTTTTTCCAATGGCAAGTTTGTTGTTTTGCAGCAATTAAAATAATACAATCATGATTCTTGCAATTCATTTTTTTAATTCTGCACATTGTGTGGAGCAATGGTATGTTGTGATTGTCGTCATTTGGAGCAATGGGTCTCTTTTAAGGCATTGCTTAATTAGTCTCTCTTTCTTTGGTAGCTGAAAAGTACACATTTGTTATTTTTCTTTATATTGTAATTGCTCGAATGGGTTTCATTTACATCCAAATAATGGTGCTGCTCCTATTTTGTGCGCATGGTTCGGGTATAATAGTTGTATTTATTGCCTTCCAAATTACATTGAGTAATCATCAAGACAGGTGTCTGAAGGTATTATATGGTAATATTTGGCAAAAAGAAAACACTTTGGAGCATACACTTGTTATCAAACCCGGGACTCTTCATTACTTTAAGGATTTTGTGGGCTCAAGTGGGCATAGAATTTTTTCAAGTCTTAAAAGAGAATTATCGGTCATAATAGTATGGTGAAATGATGATACAATGAACTTGAGTGTTCAATTTTTTATGTTTTATTTTCTTTATTAAATAACAAGGATGAAGCTACATGGTAAAAAAAATTTTCCATTACAAATATTCAAGTAGTATTTTGGACCTTTATTGTTTTGTGTTATGCTAGAATATGTTATGCTACATTATGTTGTGTTAAATTATGTTAAATTATTTAGAATGTTGTTGTATTATTTAAAATATTAGATTTATTTAGAATTTTAGAATATGTTGGCTTGAACTTGGACTTGAGTTGGTACAGGGAGGGGAACAGGGACGAGACGGGACGGGGATTAGAAATTTATCTACGAAGGGGAATGGGAATACAAACTATTCCCGTTAACAGGGTAGATCAAAAATGAATGAAATTTTTTTAAACGGGTACAAGAATGGAGACTACAAACTCCTGCCCCGCTTCGATTCACTGACATCCTTAATCAAATGTTGCATTTCTTCTCTGATTCTCTCTCTCATTATTCTCGTTAATCATTAACGCCTCCTCTCTTTGGCCACTAGTGACTCCTCCAACTAACAGCTAGCGACACAGACAGATTCGACCAATGACCAGGTATGTCTCCTTCAATATTTCTTTTACCTCTCTCTATCCTAAGCCCCCACCTCCTACCCATTTCTCTCACCTTCCCACTGTAACTCGAGATACACACATTCACCAAAAAATCCACCCTCACCCCCACCTCAGCCCAGTCCCCCTCCCCTGTAAAACCACCTACCAACCTAAACCCTGCCACCCAACCCTTCATTACCACAGCAACCCCCACTACCACCACCTACGAACCTAAGGCCAGCCACCCTGTCCACCTAAACCCCACCCCCTTCATCAAACCTACAACACCACACAATCACACACCAAGTGTTTTTTTAAATTTGGAGATAAATTTGTGGAGTTAATTGCACTAAAAGTCCTTAAAGTATAGAGTTTGTCTTATTTTGATCCTCAATATTTTAATTGCATCATTTTAGTCCCTAAAATATTAAATATATTTTTACGTAGTCCCTTAAGCAAACAACATCCAAATTATTAACAATTGTTTATCATAACTTGTCACATGATACCTAAATATGTGCAAAAAATAATTTGGGTCGCTCTTGATCAAAGTTTGAATAGCTATTGTTAAAAAATGTACAATATAAGTAGCTTATAATCAAAATTCACATAACTTATAATCAAAATTGTGTAATTTGAATAACTCTTTGATTAAAATTTAGATAAAAATTTGATTAAGAGTTACCCAAATTATTTTTTTCTCATATTTAGGTATTAGGTGACAAGTTTATAATAAAAAAATGTTAGCAATTTAGAAGTTGTCTGTTTGAGAGATCACAAATAAATTTATTTAATATTTTAGGGAATAAAATGATGCAATTAAAATATTAAAAATTAAAATAAGACAAATTTTATACTTTGAAAAGTGCAATTAGTTCTAAATTTGTACCAAAGATTGGTGGAATTTTTGTAAAAAATAGAATTGTCATATATAAATGAGCCGAGTTATGAAGGAGGGTAATTGTGTCATTGGATCTAGCATCAGTAGTGGGACCTCCTGCACCGGTCGGCTTTTATAAAACTCGTATAAACCGGACGAGTTACCCAAACCAGACGGATCTTTGTAACTACGATAAATTGACATTTTTTACCCTAAATTCACAAATCAGTTATCGTTGCACTCTTTCAGCCGTCTGCTGTGCGATCTTCCACCGCCGTCTTCTTCTCCTTGCGAACTTCAGAGCCCTGTGACTCTCAGAGAGGTTCTCTTCATCTTCTCTCTAACTCTGATTCTTAGATCTCAGGTAAGTTATTTAATCTCTCATCACTTCATCTTTCTCATCTGTCTCGCCTACGGATCTCATATCTGGGTTGTAGGTAATTTTAGGGTCTTTGTCTTCTGGTTTGTTGGTATTTTCGAATCATCTCACCTTGATTTATGCTTCAAGCTGCAATTTTCGGTGATGTAATCTAAAATGCTGTTTTTTCCTCCAGATTTGCTTAAAAAATTATTTGATTTTCTATGATGCTCCAGATTTGCTAAAAAAGATGAGAACCGGTTGCGTCTTGTGCAAAATCATCTTGTTCATTATTTTTAATTGTTTATTCCAGTGCTCTGCATGGTGTCAGGAGTAATGTTTGTGAACAAATAATGTGGCTACCGACTGTTGCAGACTTCAACTCACCAAAGGGACCAATTTACTTAGTTGGGCTTTTTTCCTATTTTTCTCATCTTAGTCACAGCAGCATAACGAATTACCTCATTGATTGTATGTGTAATTTTTTAGTATAAATTTGTACTTCTTCCCTTGCTATGAAAATATGATATGGCGTGTGTTTAGTCTCAGTTTTTTTTTTTTGAGTAAGTGCTTTGTTTCAGTTGGAACCCCAGTTCTTGGAGAATTTCGAGTCCTTTATCTTGGGGTTTATTGATAAACTAATTTTTTAGCATAATTATTAATGGGAATTATTTTAATTTTTTACTGTATGACCGGTCCAACAGTTAAGCCAGTCACTCATGGACTTGGTCCCTCTGGATTATATGTGCTGGGTGTGATAACTATGCTTCTAATTCGCCCTCTTCAACCGTTTACCCTAATAACACTTCTCCCTTTAATTACAGAAGGAGAAAAACTGTAGCGAGAAATTCAATTTCAGACTTCCAGAGGAATGTCCATAGCCGTAGAGAAAGCTGAGGTCGAAGAACCAAAGGTAATGGACAAAATTGAAGATGATGATGATGAAGAGGAAGAGCTCTCGTGGTCTTCGGACTCCGAAATTGGGGATGCTTTGGACTATTTGGACTCGAAAGACAACGAAGAAGCTGTTGATGGAACTTTTACTCTTCACTCTCGGCGTCCAAATGCTCACGGAGGGCTTCACTCTCGCCCTAATACGTCTTCTCTTCAACCTCTGTCAAATCGAAGCCAGAAGTTCACAAATCACATCAAAGCTTCGCCTTTAGAGGTAGATACAACTAATTGTTTGTGTTTGTGGCTTTCTGTGTATGTCTTACTGGAGATTCGTTTGGCTGCTGTGAAAATTAGGAGAACAAAGAGAGTTTCAAATCAAAATTATTGTTATTCCCTTTTTTTCCTGCGAATTTTCATGAGAAATTTTAAATTCTGATCTTATAAGAGCATTTTAATAGAGAAATCATAAAATTTGTGTTTAAATTTTTTTTTCCCAAACTTTCCTTAACAAACAAGTGGAGGGCTATGACACTGCATTTTGTTAAACAGCATAGCTGGTTTGTTTCTGGTTATTCAATTGGATTTAAAGGTAGTCATACTTGGTGGATACAAATACAATGATTGTGCTTCAAAAAATGGCTATTGTTGACTTTAAATTGGGATATACAGCTGAATATTTTGTGTCCAAATAATTTTGCGTGGAGAAAATGAATTTATCAAATAATTTGCATCTGAAGTTATGCGGAGGACATTGTTTTAGATCATCTGTGTTAGCATCATTCCTCTTGGACTATATTGGCTGATAGGGAATTTCACATTTTGATTCGGTGTCTGGCTGTTGGGAACAATTTACAAGGACAACAATTATTTTAGTTTTGTTATGAAAAGTGCTCTATGTGCTTGCTTGTTTCTGTGCCTATTGGTTTTTTACAAGTAAATTGATGGTGCAGGAGTGGGAAGGAAGGTTGAATGTGGGCATGTCAAACTCTGTTACAACAGCAATTCGTGGAAGTGTTCGAGAGATGGCCATTGGAAAGACTAGAACTACTGAAAAAGCCGACCGTGCAACTGTTGAACAGGTGAATATTCATTAGAAGCCTTTGCTGTTTTTTAAGTTCTATAATATCACATGACCTCAAATGGTGGTTCTATCCAGAAATGTCCATCTATATGTTGATTTATTTTTGTGCCATTTTAGTTTCCTCTTGTTTACATCAGTTACTTCTGCCACATGTAAATTTCTTGTGACGGAAGCATTTTCTAATTTTTGTAAAAGCTATGTGGAAGTGTTAGTTTCTGACGTTTTCAATTATAAGATGAGCTCCTCTATATTTAGTTTGCACCTCCAGTAAGGACATTTTATTTTAATTGTTTTCAACCAGCATTTAGTAAAATACTGAAATGTTATATTTAATGGAAATTATTCCCCCCTCTGTTTCTCCCTTCTGGGACGCAGGAGTGCTGTTGTGCATGTCTATTATATTTGGCACTCATTGTGTGTGAATGTCTATGTCCACCACAAATTTCATCAAGGACCTTTTATTTGTATCTTGAAAATGTTTCTCTTGTTTTTCAGGCAATTGACCCCAGAACTCGCATGGTTTTATTCAAAATGCTCAACCGGGGTGTATTTCATGATATCAATGGCTGCATTTCAACTGGGAAAGAAGTATGTAGTGCATTACTAATTTTTAAGTTGTTATTTTCAATTAACACCTTGTATCTGTTAACAATTATTGCTTATTCTGTCAATTCACTTGTTGAAGTTTGCGTACATGGATGATCATTTTCTTATGATGCATTCATCTTTTCCCCATTCACAACAGGCAAATGTTTATCATGCTACAAGATCTGATGGTCAGGAGTTGGCAATCAAAGTATACAAGACTTCTGTTCTTGTGTTTAAGTATGTCCAGTGATCCTTCTGTTTTGTTTCAGTGACTTGATAATGTCATTGAATCTGTAGAATTCATGTTTGCCAATTTTTCGAATTGACTATGCATCTTTACATTCTATATATGTGTTCATTTATGTAGTGAGTTGTACTCATCATTGCAATGCCGCCCAACTATTCCTCTCTAGCATGTTGCAATTTTAAGAACAATGTGTGAAGAAGAGATACAAGAATATAATTTTTTGTGAACTTCTACATTGTAGAAAGAAGTTCTGAAACATATGAATGTTTGTTACAGTGTTGTGAAAAGCATGTATTGCGCTTTCCAAGGCCCGAGCAAGATGAGAATCACCTGGATTCGAATTGTTTCTTTTAGTTTCATTGTTTTATGTTTTCCTATATTTGTGGTCTGCAAGAATGTTTTATCTTTCTATTTAGTTCATGTGAAACTTCATTTGTACATCTATATGATCTTTTTGCTCTTCCCACACTGGCACCTTTACAAAGAAAAACATGCACCACCTTGGTACAATGAAAATAGCAGTGCTGATTATTTTGCGATACTGGTGCTTTTGTATCTGTTGAATTGCAGTGCCCTGGTTTATACTTCAATATGCTTTTGAATTTTGTTGTAGTCTGTGTGTTATTATTGTTGCTCACAATTCCAGCTTGCACCTGAATTCCATTTTACAGATGATATTTGTGGATGGTTATGGCTTAGTGACATCATTTAGCTTCTTGTTAACTTCAGGGATAGAGATCGATATGTACAAGGTGACTACCGTTTCAGATATGGATACTGCAGGCACAATCCCCGAAAAATGGTTAAAACATGGGCTGAGAAAGAAATGAGAAATCTTATGAGGTTAGAATACATTTATTCCTCATGATATTCTTTGTTCCCTTAGATGGAGACACACAACTATGACTGTGTGACTGGAGTATGACTTGGTTTTTAAAATCTTTTTGTCTACTGCACTAGTGGAAGCCTTGAAGAATGTTTCTTCCATTTCCAGATCTAAATTATGGAGGACGTTATTGCTTTTGGTAGTTTTTTTATCTTTCTTAAATTGTTTCTTCTATCAGCTTTAAGCATTGGACCCATTTGCTTCTCTCTCTCTCTCTCTCTCTCTCTCTCACACACACACACACACACTGCTGTAGTTAGTTCTGATTCTTAGGTGTTTGTGCTATTTGGTTGAAATCATCATAAAATTGACCATATGGTGGACGGCATTAATTTGACGAAAAATGGCTACTTGCTTCCCTACTACTATTAAAGTCCAATAGAATGGAGTACAAGGTAAAAGCGGTTTTGGAACTTCTGCTGTATTATCGAGATTAGTTGTATCATAGGGAAAAAAAAGGAAACATTCATGTATCGATTTCTATAATTTCCCTGTTTTGAGATCTGCTTCCGAAAATGGTTGTGGTGAACTGCAGGCTAAAGGCAGCCGGAATTAGGTGCCCAGCTCCAATTCTATTGAGGCTTCATGTTTTGGTCATGGAGTTCATAGGTATTCTGCTTCTATATTTTTTCAGTCTACATACCTATACAAAATCATTCTGTAATTCATACCTAATTTATTCATTTTATTGTTATAGGTATTCTATGGTTATAAATTAAGTTGTATGGGATCCAATAAAGTATTTTGGTAAAATCTAAATGAGATTGGATGCATACATTATTAGTCAATATATCACATTTTTTTGGACAAATTTAGCCAAAATGAATGTTCTTTTAGTGGTTTATCAATCAGATGGTTCATGTGTGTAACTGTCTGGTTAGGTTGCTTTCCACACTGGTCATTTTTTCTTTATTGGTATGGGATTCTAACCTTGACCTTGTTTATACTCTTTGGGATCCTACCTGATTCCTGATTTTGTACAGGACTAGCATATGACAGTGTGCCATTATTTGAAGTCATTTCAAATTTTTGCAAGTTTAAACGCTTCATCTTTATTTTCCCCCTAATATTATTAGTAAAATGGTTTCATGTCTATAAAAGTTTAATAAGTTTCTTGGACATGTGTTACAGGCAAGGTAGGTTGGGCCGCACCTCGACTTAAGGATGCCGCTTTATCTCTGGACAAGTTACGTGAAAGTTATATGGAGGTGTGCCAAGTTCTTTTGATTATGATTTTGATTGTTAGCCTAGCCAAACTCTTATTCTTGAACCACACCACTCTCTCTCTCTCACTCTCTCTCTCTCTCTCTCTCTCACACACACACACACCCATTTACTGCATAAACAGTATTTATTTCAATCTTACATGCATTATATAGAAACATGGCCTTCGTTGGATCATCCATGATCTCACCATGGTCTTTTGGATTTCATGTTATTTTTGTAGCACTTTCAACTTGACTTCAGTGTAATGAACAATAATGGGACTCAGCAGAGAGTTGCCTAACGAATGGTTTACCATAAAGGAATTATTCTCTCGTACTTTTTTTATATTGGTGGTAGCCCGTTAACTGGTAATGCATGTATTATGATGCCATTAGACTAAGTTAAAAAAAGTAACATTCTTGTACATATTTTTATACTAATTGTGTTGACTTGAACTTGACAATAACCTTTTGGCATCTTTGTAAGATAATTTTGGCAATGCGAACATTGTATCAGAAGTGCAAGTTGGTGCATGGAGACCTTAGCGAATATAACATCCTCTACTTTGAGGTGAGCCTTTAGCATTCTATACATTGATTTATTACACTTCTAGCAGTGAACTATACGCGAAAACTATTACTGTTTTGCAGGGTCACTTGTATATTATTGATGTTTCCCAAGCAGTTGATCTTGACCATCCTCATGCCCTTGATTTCCTTCGTGAAGATTGTCTCCATGTTTCTGTGAGCTCTTCCACCAGTGTTTAGTGTTATTTTTTTGGATTGAATAAGAACAGAAAATGAAAATATTGCAATCGTTGTTTGAATTAACCATAACAAGTGGTGGCATGCAGGATTTCTTTAGAAAACATGGTGTAGCTGTTATGACAATTCGAGAGTTGTTTGATTTCATAGTTGATCCTTCTGTTGATGATGATTCTGTGGATGGTTATCTGGAGGAGGTATGGTACATAATGCAGCCAAAAAATAATTCCTAAAAAAATTTGGGGAGAGTTTCATTATTGCGATTAACTTGTTTCAGGTTCAGCAAAAAATTTTGGCAAGAGGAGATGTGATCTCTGCAGAGGAAGAAATTGCAGATTCTGTATTTGTTCAGGTGAGTATGGCATCATCATTCAGTCTTTTATTGTTTTTTCATACTAGTACTCTCCATACCTAATGTTTAGGGAACTGATCCTAAGAAAGTCTTATTTCTAAATCTGTTTTGTTTTGGATTGCCAATTTCAGTCTTATATTCCAAAGACATTAGATAATGTGAAGAATGCGGAGGAGGATGTAATACGGATAACGAGTGGCAAGGACACTCAAGATTTATACTACAAGACAATTACAGGACTTAAGCAGGCTCTTTCCATGACTAATCCTTCTGTAGCTGAAAAAGAGCAGGATCAGCAGGTGGGGAAGCCTGCACACGAATCACCTGTCGATCCAGCTGGGCATTCTAACTCGCAGGACAGCGAATCAGAGGCTGGAACAGATGAAGATGACAATAATTCAAGTGACTCGGAGGATGATGGGTATTCTTCTGAAAGTGGCACACAAGCACCTGTCGATAAAAAAGCAGCTAGGAAAGAGAACAAGAAGAAAGTTAAAGAAGAGAAGAGGGAGGCCCGGAAGAACAAAGTGCCAAAAGCTGTGAAGAAGAAAAAGAAGAAATTGGCCAAAGCGAAGAAGTACAGGTAGCTACAAGTATCCAAAGCTATAAATATTGTGAAAGCTGCCTGGAGAGTTTTGTTCATCTGTGTGATGAATCCCAATTTTGCAAATTGTGGCTCTATGAGCGATTATATTTATTTGCTTTTTATCTATTTTTTTCGGTTTAGAGGGGGATGGGGCTGGTGCACCGGTGACGCTTGGGGCATCGGTGGACTGGTGAATAGTGACTAATGTTGGTTTTGGAGTAATTATTAAGAAATAATGTAAGTGTTTGTTTTCATCGATATTAGATAGCAAAACTTGACATACTTCCTCAAACTTTCTGCATAAATCTAAGGACTCATTTCATCATCTTGGCGCCCATATATTGATTTGTTGAAAACAACTCCTTCGTCAACTGCGCCATTTTGTATTTGCTACAATCATGCTTACCTCATCCATTGTTGGCTTGCCCCAGGATACCATTTGGAAGAAGTCTTCTACGTAAGCCTGTTACGACTATTTTGTATTGCTACAATCATGCTTAGCTTATCCGTTGTTGGCTTGCCAGGATTCCATTCGGAAGAAGTCTTCTATAGAGAGAGAGCTTGTTAGGAGGAAGTGGAGAGTATAGATCTTCAGAGATTCTTATCTCATTCCTTTCCAATGTTCATCCAGTTATCAATGGTGAAAATTCTAAAATTTATGGTTTCTTAATCATCAAACCAAATCAAGTTTTATGTCTCAATTATCTGGAGTCGGATAAAATTGTGTTGTTCAAATTTTGTATCCCAAATTATGTGTCAAAACTTTATGCATTGAATATTTGGTAGAGTTAGTGCACTCCACTGATTTAACCACATACATAGATTTGAGATACAAAATTTGATAAATGATTTGGTCAACATATGTAAAACTCGAAAAAATTAAAATTTAATTAAGAAGAGCAAAACGGTAATTAGTTATTACGGTGCGGATTAAAAACTTAATTTTTTTTAAAACTTGGATGATGAAACGGATCTCACCGGTAGGTTCATGTCGCGAAATTTAGTTACCCATTTATTTTTTGTTAAATTTCGAGACAGTTAAATTTTTTGTCTTTTATGGTGTGATCGGGCGTTGCGTGACTAAAATAAATACGAACAGATTTTATTCTCAGAACCTGAAAAGTAATTTAAAGTTAATTCAATAAAAATGCACTAAATTTAACACTTGATTCGAGATCAAATTAGACCAATCAAAGTGAGACGTGTGGTGCAACGAGGGTCAAGCAATTGAGAAGTATAAAAGGGGAAAAAATCAAATTTTTCTCCTTCATTCTTCGACCATTTCCAATAGAGAGAGAGAGGGGGGAGAGAAAGAAAAATAAAAGAGAAAAAACTCCCCCTCTTTATCTTCTTTCCTTGATCCGTCAAGATTCAATTATTGGATTGTTTCGGGCCAAAAGTTAAAGTCGTTCTACACAACGAGAGTTATGCACTAATACCAAAGATCGTGATTTTCTCCAAATTTTCAAAGACGGAAATTTTAAGATAAAACTTGGGAGGCTTGATTTGGGATCTTTGAGACTTTTACTACGCGGACAAGGTAGGGTTCCCTTTTATCTGGATTTATTTTCAACCTAAGGTTATTATATAAAATGGGTAGAATGAAATAGATGAATTCTCATATATAACACACGCCTAGTGTAGCTAGAATATGAAAAATGGGTATGAGAACATGTTAAAATCATATCTTGTTTGATTTGGGTTGATGAGATTGCTTGTGTTGGATTTGATAAAATTGATTGTTTGAGCATGCAATGTGTTTACATAATTTTGCCTACTAAATATTTGATAAAATGCTTAGAACTTCAAATGTATTAATTGGATTGATATCACATGTAGCATGCTTGGGAATGTTTGCGAAAAAAAGATATGTTCATTATATGTTAAATGATGTGATGAACATGATATTGTAAATTGTAATTGTATATTATATTTGCATATGCACGGATTGTATTACATTCGTGGACATTCGACATTAGTGGGAGTGTGTGTGCATATTTTTAATCAAGCACCATCCTTTGAGGGTTGATACGTGGGTTTAGGAAAGTTGGATCAAAGTTTGATGGAGTCGCACGAGTTACATTGAAAATACATGTTGAGTATAACAAGAAGGGATAGATTCTCTCTCAGGTGCAAGACCCGATTACTTGATTCACTCACTTGCCTTATGGTGAAATTCCAAAATAGAGTTTAGGTGTACTCAGAACCTAAGATGAGGTGCCCTCGAATGTCGTGTGGGTTGGGTAGTCTGTTGGTGTGATGTCCATAAATTAGCTACCCAAGAAAGACATAAAATTTCATAAAATAGTCATTGGATATCTAACATCAATGGCAAGAGCTTGGAATGTCTGAGTGCATGCGCACAGCATGACATGTGTTATGGGAGCCGGTAGAGGGCTTGGGTTTGCATTGCATGCGTGAGTTCCATCTCATGACATGACATGACATAAAATTGTAGCACTCATCTATAAAAAATATGTGTTTGAATGAATGTTTGATACCCTATTGAACGTAGCTCACCCTTTAGGGGGATACATTTCAAGTGTTGGACAGTTCTAGCAAACGCCCCTCATTTGGGCCCTTGTTGATGACCAAGCCGAGTTGTGACTCGTGAATTACATTTTGAAGTTCTTTGTACATTTTTATTTTAGTCTTGTATAAATTATGTACAAAATTTATACTTTGACAACGGCATGTAATCGGACACTCTAATGCATTATTCTTTTGTTAACAAATGAATATGATGGATCTTGTATAAGTTTATTGGGTTAAAAGTTGAAATTAAGGAATTTGGAAAAATCTGAGTCCTAGGTACTAGTACATCACAGGTATCTAGTTTCTAGTGGGCTTAGGTACCGATACCTAGGCTCACAGGTACTAGTACCCTGATCACAATAGGCTCAAATATAGATACATATGCTCACAAGTACCAGTACCATGCTATCGAAGACTCAGGTACCAGTATCAAGTTTTACATATAACGATACCTGCTAACCAGGTGGTTCAGGTACCGATTCCACTTATCAGAGTTATCGGTATCTCTTCTCAAAAACTGAAATTTGAAATGTAACATTGTCGAGACTTTCACATCTTGAGCTCTTTTCTTTGGATGATGTAAATGGTTAAAATTTAAGTCTGAGACTTGGGATTTGAACTTTAGAATGGTCATATGATTCATATGTGAACATGTTATATATTGGATAGTGCTTCCGTGCAAATGAGATTTTGTCCGGATTCTGTTTTATTATGATCCCGGTGAATAAGATGTAACGACGTAGTATTGAATTATACGATATCCACAAATATTTTACAGATTGATAGTTGATCAACGAATTAAAAAAATATTCTCAAATTTTGGGAAATCACAGCATAGTATAGCATTACTCTTTTCATATATTTTCTTATGATTTCGTTTAATATTAATTTAGACAAACTCACTATATTTTTTAGACAAACAAAAACTCGACACTCTTGCTAAAGGACCGGGAATGTGCCTATTTCTATGCCTTCAATATTTCTAAAACATAACATTACATGCTATAGTATGGAAAACAATTGGTATCTTAACCACTATACACAATTTTTTAGGAGTTCTTTTATAATTGTTTTTGGGTTTGTGAGCTATTCACATACTATAGGATCCACGTCAAGTACTTCTAAAAATTATTTGACTCTCAAAAATTATAACTTAAACTCTAAAAATTATAACAGAAGAGCAAAAATTGTATTGTTTTGGAAGCGATTTTAACTTTTTAGTTGTAACTAAATACCAAAAACTTATACCCTAACTTATAACAATTATAACTTTTAAATTGATTATAAATCATTAAATATTAAAGCTTGGCATATATACGAAAGGACGCAACAGTTATAAATTGAAAAGGACATGAAAATCAAAACGACACCGTTTCCTCTAAAGCCTCGCAAAACAGACGATCACTGCAACTGATAACAGCTTCGCCAATCCGACAACTCAGATGTCGAATTCGACAAATCCCCAAAACCAAACCCTGGACCTCCAACCTTCGCATAGCGGTTACCAAACTCAACAATGGGAATCAATGGCTCGAGCATGGCTCTCGACGCTCCCCGAGGACAAGACTGTGGCCCCAAACGAAGTCGAAACTTGGCTCCAATCGAACCAAACTTCTATACCAGACGAAGTCAGATCAATGCCTCGATCTCAGCTCTACGAACGGTTGAATTCGATTCAGAATAGCATAGCTCCATCCACCGAGGTATGTAAAAAGTTAATTGCATTTCGTTTATGCTAGGGCAGTGTGTCTGAGAGAGACTTCAGATTCTCAATTTGGGAGGTTAGGTGTGAAATTGTTATAACTTATAAGGGTAGCGGAAATTAGAATATTTAGGTGGATTTGTAAAAAACTAAGGATAGATTAGAGATATGAATGGGGTAGTTTCAGTTAATTGAAGGCAAGTTGAGGGAGAGTAGATTAAGATGAATGAATCATGTTCAACAGAGGCCGATAAAGGCACCGGTTAGAAAAAGTGATAGAATTTCTCTTAAATGTGTGAAGATGAATGATTGGGACATAAGGTTTGGTGTGGTTAGGTTAGGTGTGAAATTGTTCAAGAACCATTATAGAAGTAATTTCATGTACGGGAATTAATATAAAATATATGGTGTATCAATCATTCTGTCTTTACCTGTAACTGTTTTTTTGCATTATGTGCAAAAAACATTCAATAACTAGTGCTAATGTGACTTGCATATTTGCTATTGGAAACATTGTCTCTGTGTCTTTGTGTGAAACTGTCTGTCTGCCACTGAAGAATCTTTAGCTGAGTCTGTGATATTCAACGGGATTTATGGATCCTAGCGCATCTGTAGTTCTCTGAGTAGATGTGGTATAGTTCTAATAGAGAACTCTGCACAATGACGTGAAGCTGTGGCCTATATAGGATTTTAGGCAGAATGCAGAATATCTTGGTCCAGATTATCTAATTCCCTGATATTATAAGGAGTGAGTTTAAGGCAAGTGATGCATATAGTGTTGTGTAATTTAGGGTAATGAAGGAGATGAGGTCTTAAATTTGATGTCTCCATGGCTTACATACAATATTGAATGCAAAAAGTGGTAACTTGTTTTTTTTTGCCTATGGTAGTGTGTATTGAATTCTATGTGTGATCTTCATGTTGCTTGGACGGGCTATTTTATTGATAGTCTATTTCTTATAGGAAAAGCCTGCAAATCAAGTTGATCCTTCACAAGCTCGATTTCAACGCACTGATCAATGGATGCCAGTTTATGCCTGGTTAGAATCATTAGATTCAGATGAGGTAATTAAGTCGAAAGATATTCTAGACTGGCTTTCTGAGAACCCAGAGGTCAAAGAAAGTTTGTACTCAAAGCACTCCCGTTATCATTTGATGCACTATATCAAAAAGTGCCATGTGAAGATACTGAAGAGGAAGGAGAGGAAGAAGGTAATGATCATTTTTCATTTTTAATGTCTATGTTGAAGTAGTGTTTTTGCACGTTCATACTAACATGAATGCATATATGCATTATTACCACTTTTTTGCATTGCATGAAACACTTTGCCTATGACAAGGGAATTTTTATATTTGCTGATGTGGAAGGTGCATTGCTGATTGTAAAATCTATGTTGTTAGTTATGCTGCACCTTTGATTTGATTTTTAAATTTAGCAGTCATTAAGTCTTTAGCAAGAAATGCATTGATTGAATCTTTTCTAATGTATTTTGAAGACATTTTAAGTTTCTGATGCACTTGTTGATTGTACCACCAGACACATTGTTAGTATGTCCATCTATATTGTTGTGGGTAAAGGGAATGGTAATTTAAAATCAGTAGCATCTCTCATGGAAATCAAAGAGATCAAGTTATACATGGAATTGATCGTGAGGAGGTTGATAACTTTGATAATTAATTTCAGAGGGACATTCAAAATTTTGAATTGAAGTTGACGGTAGTTTGGAAAGTCTATAGACCCTACTGAAATTTAAAGATATATCTGTCTTTATTTTTTGGATGGTTATGAGTGGTAGGTTTTAAGAATTGATGCTACCTGACATTTGGCATACTATATAAAAGAGAGTATGTGGTGGAGAGCTAGGAACTGCATAATAGTTAAGTGAATCGGACATGGTAGAGCTAGCGTTAAGTGCTTTTGGTCCATGTATTCATAGGCCCCACTGGTTAAAGATCATAAAAGGTTGTGCTTCAATATACAATTTGGTAAGTATCAGGTGCCTTTATTTAGTTCAGCCTTCAAGATCAGATGCCTGCTGTGCATATTCATCATAGCTTAAATACGGACCACAAATCTTTTCTTTATCTTATATCCTAATTGTTTATTTATTATATCTTTTATCCTAATAATTTTTTTTATCACATGCACAGGGATTGCAGGTCACCAACAAAGAAAATTCTCCAAAGGTTAACAAAAGCGGGGGCACGAAACCACCAGTGCCGCTTCCATGTATGTCATTTACAGATTTGAGGCATTTGATATATATCCTGTATGGCATCCCAAATTTTTTAAAACTGTTTTCTTGCTTTCATTGGATTTTTGTAATGGCCAGATGACTGAAGCACCAGTTCATATATTTGGTCAAACTGCTGGACCATTTCTTTGTGAACATTACAATTTAAATTGTGCACCTTTCTGTGTGCTATATGTTTTAAGCATGCCTGATGTTATTGGCATGTCAAAAATAGCTTTGGCACTCCCTCTCTCGTTGGTGTTCAGAAAATTCATCTTTTTGGTATGCCTGAAGCTTTTTGAAGTGCTGACATATTTTCAACCCGTGTATAAATGTCTATACATATAAATTGGAATTCCTGATGGTCTAGTAAACTAGTACAAATAAGTAACCTTGGAGATTTCCTCAAGATCAAATTAAAACAGTATGTTTGAAAACCAATCATGGCATAAGATTTCCAAGTACAAGAGAAGCCTGGAGGTGGATGTAGCTGAAAAGAATCTTTGTTGGTTGCTGAAGGGCAATCTTTGTGTCAAGTTCTGATATCTGTTGCATTAAATAACTGCATTATTTGCTGCTTCTCCTTCTCAACTATTAGGATTTTTTTCATCTTTTGCTCGAGATTTTTCATATTATTAATTTTGCAAAGTCAACTGCGGGCTAAACAATGTGGGAACAGTGTTCCCTATGCTTTCAGATTCATTCCTATGGCCTAGATCTATTGTACAAAAGGGTGTTTGATGATAGGCCTTTAGTTTGACCGCTAAGTTCTACCAGCAGGCTAGCTAGCATCTGCAGTTTTAAGCTTTATATCCCCTCTTCCCCTTTTTTGGATGGTTGCATTTCTGCTACTTAATATTTCCTCTTGCTCTCTGTCTAAATTGCAGTCGACAGTTTAAGCAATCTACCTAAAGACAGTGATGTATACTTGGCAAAAAGAAGTGAAGCTCTGCAGAAATTCGAGATGTGAGTATCACAGATCTCTGAGTTATTGCATATTTGCATGTAACTTGGCAGTATTTGTTTTTGTGTAGTTTGCTCACTAAGTTCCTTACTTGGTTCTTCTCAGTTTAGTAGAATTGGAGAAACATCTTTCTGCGGCATTTCCAAAGCAGCATGAAAACGCACTGTGTCTGAAGGACTCGTGATTTAGCAAATATTCATGTCGAGATAGATATGGAAGGTAGCATAGGTGGTGTTATCGCAGTTTTACTGGTTATGAGCCTCTGTAATTAACCTTAACACTCTTGGTGAAAAATGAGTTTGATGCTTATCATCGGTGACCCCGGAATCATGGTAAACGAAATATTTTCTTGTGGGGGTCTCTCCCTACTCTGATTCACTATCAGAGCACTTGGGTTCAGAGTTGCCATGAAGGGGTTGTTCGTTCATGTTTTGTTTCATTCGGTTACGCCTTAATTAGGTCAAGCTATGACTAAATCATTTCCAAGTATACTGCTGTTCAGGTCAAGATTACGATTCAAATAGGTTCAAAAACATTAAGAAGCAATCGATCCTAAATTATTGGGATCACCCCTAATTGATCCAACCGGATGATTCAACTCGATGGTTTGAAGGGGCGATTATGTATAAAAAAAAAAAAGTAGTGACAATCAAGGATCAAGAGCAAAAGTGGCAGGTGGTTGAGGACTAAAGATTGTTTGGTTACTCAGAAGATGATGAGTCGACTAAATGAACGAGTAGTTCTAGTTCTAGGACCATCCAAAGCCAAGTCTCTGTTGGTCTTCAGGCCTAATGGCGTAGGGGTACCCAACATATGTGATGGGTTGGATTGGCTTATCAGCCATATAAGTGCTTCTCTAGTGACATTTGTTTTGTGCCCGTGTTTTGAGCTCAGTTTAGTTTATTTTATTTTATTTTATAATTAAAATTTATTTACCCACCAAAAGAAGTTAATTATTCATTATATTCTTTTTGATCATCTTTGATTATATATAAGAAGAGTATGTGACGAAATTAAGCAATAAATTAAAAAATATAAGTTGAAATTTAATCATATTTGAGGTACTTGGATTAAATAGAATTTTTATTCCCACAAACATTGTTTATATAAAACATTAAAATTAAATCAATTGGATATATAAGATCAAATTCCAATTCTAAGATCTCAAATAAATATAGATTTATGACCAAATAATAAATAAATATAGATTTACTCAATTAAGATATTTTTTTTTTGTTTGTTTGTTTGTTTGTTTCATTAAAATTCAATCAAATGAAATGGTTAATCCAGCAGCACCTGTGTCTCCATGTTATGCTTTGCACGTGAAAATTGAAAATTAGCGAACCCCATTGTCATTACAGCCTCCAAATCCAACGGTAAGTATTTGCCTAAAAAGACTCCACGGCAGAAAAAAGTACACTCGTTTCAGAACTTGGGTCCCATCAATCGAGACTCTATTTCCAAATCCAAGGTATAGACCCCACACACAAGCGTCTGGGTCCACGAAAGTTAAACTATACACGTGACAAACACTAGAGAGCAGAGTACTGTACTAACTAATACCTTAAAACCTCTCGTCCCACATCGACTAAACCGCAACAAGTCTAGTCCTTTATATAACGAAGCCTTACAGTCAAACAATGTCCCTTCGGGGACATCCGATAAAATTGGAACGATACAGAGAAGATTAGCATGGCCCCTGCGCAAGGATGACACGCACAAATCGAGAAATGGTCCAAATTTTTTTTTGAATTTTTTGCCCTTGGTTCTCTAATGTCAAATTACCAAACTGCCCTCACATTTCTCTTCTTTCCCGCAAATACCCCTATCCGCGAGACCACCTGTTCCCCTTCTCTTCTCTGCCCTTCTTCAATGTCAGCTCAAAATCGAGTCTCTGAAAGAAATTGAAATTCTAGGGTTTTTCGACGGAGACGACGGTAAAGAATCTCTCTTCTTCGTTATAAAAGTTTGAATTCTAGGGTTCTATTGTCGGATTTTTTGGACGAAAAAGTTTAAGTTAATAATATTGGTTGAATTTTTTTCTTATGCTTATATCGCAGTTCAATTTGCATTGTTTTGGACGGAAAATTTAGGGTTATTATTGCTTCAACCTTTTCTCATATTTATATTATTGCATTATTATTTTCACTGTAGGAGAGTTTCTATCTTTCAAGAAAAAGGCATAACCAGCTGGTGTACAATTTAAACTCTTCTTTATTGGATTTTGATATGTTTAATGTTTTTCTTTGCTTGGATTTTGATACAAGGAAGCTAGTTCCTATCGCGCCATGTGTTTGGGTTTATTTTCATTGCATTAACATTCAACTGTGTTGGTGCAATCTTGGTTTCATGCATTCAACTTTTGCTTTTGGTGCTGGTGTATCCAATGTTTCCTTTGTATACATATCAACAGGGGTAAAGGTAGGCCGGTTAATCGTGTCGAGTGAGGCGGGTTTGTCTCGAGTCTTAATAAGATCGTGTCAAAAAACTATTTCATTCATACCTGATTCGTTTATTAATTCGTGTTTTACGAACCCTGTCATATCGAATTCGTGTCGTGTATGAATCGTGTATAATGAATATATAAATGAGTCGTATTGTGTATTTCTTATGATTAATTTTATCTATATTCGATTCGTTTATTAATCGTGTCGTGTTGGGTCCATTCGTTTGCTAAACAAGTAGTTTAAGAGAGACTAAAAGTCTCTAATTTCGTGTCGTTTCGTGTTAACAAATCGTATCATATTTTAAGAAGGTATTCCAGGGATAACTGCATTTTCCATTTTTTGTATTGTGATACTGAACCTGTTTAGATTTTCTGAGTATTGTGTTGCATGAGCAGACAGACAGAATCAACCTTGCTTATAGTGTGCTTGGGTATTCCCCATCTTTTTTCTATGGCTTGCAAGCCTCATTTCAGTTACTTGTGGGAATAGAAAGGTTGCGGAAGCTTTGGAAGAGATACAATTGGGTTATATAACCCAATTTATGCTTATGTCACAACCTTCCTCCATCTAAGAATCAATGTTTAGACCAATATAGGTATAAAATAAACTATGCACAAATAGTTCTATATATTTTACCTTAAGTTACATAAGATTGAGCAATGTGGTTGGTGTTATCAGAGACAGGTAGTCATGGAAGGTTGTCCGCGAAAATGTTAGTTGGTTTGCACTTCTATGGGCTTTTCTTTGGCTGTTCAACTGGCGTGGATGGTGTTGACATTAAATGATACTATGGTATAGCATTTGGAAGAGATGGGATAGCATTATGGCTATTATATGAGGATCTTGTGCGTAGAGTTGTCATTGGATAATTTAATCCAAGGGTTGGGTGTTGTATTTCTAATGGAAAGTCATAAATTGTGTTTGTTTCAAGAAGTCAGACATGGAGCACCTGCAAGCACTCTTTCATCCAATCGATGAGTTCCAAAACTTGAAGTCAAGCATGGTGGTCTCTTTGAAACGACAGTAATGCTGCATGTCACTTGCCTCTCTTACATCTGACAAGGGCAAGAGCCTTTTACTTTACGAACACACACACACACACACATATATATATATACTTGTTTGATCTCTTGATTCGCTGTAATAAGAGGGCTTCTTCTTCTCGTAGTCGTTGAGGCTTCTCTTCATCCCAAAAAATCTATTACAATGTTTCTTCCGCCACCCACAATGCTTCTTCTAGGTCACTCTGTCAAGATGCCTCATCTGCCGGTAACTATAGCTGCTACAAATGCCAAAACAATGTGTATAGAAATCTAAGCCAATGGCTTAGTCCACAAGCTTTGCACATGGGACTTAAAGGTTCCAATCACATAGCTGAGTACATGTACAAATACACAAATACTAGAACAATAGATAGTAACAGTTTCCAATGCTTCCATAAGATTTTACATAATTAAGAGTAAGCAAGCTTTTCTGGATAGAAGCATACAATTCTTGCTCTTGCCCAGCATGAGGCTACAATGATCGGTCACTCTTGATCCTCCAATATGCACACAAAAAGCAGCAAGCAAAAAAAACCTATTTGCAATGGTTAAAGACCAATAATGCATCTACCAGCACTTAATTTTCATACCAAATTCCCAAAGCTGACAAGAAACAGTGCTTGTGTTGCCTCAGAAACCCCACATGCCTTCAGGAACATTATGAACTATTGGTACGATATCATTCAACATTAAGCAGACCGAGAACAAAACAGCAAACTTCATAATTGTCACTAGCTGTGGTCATCAACCAGACATCTCCAGATCACGAGTTCCATTTTCTTGTTCATTTGATGAGCTAATGGACGCGAGCAGATGTTCTACTGTGAGAGGGGAATAACGAGCCATATACTGGAACATAATCTGAAAGCATAAATGGCAACCAATTTCCTATTTCAGTGAGCTTTAAAATAAATATAACGCAGGAGATTAAATATACAAATTAAAGGGAAGTCGAAAATGGTTTTACGCACTAGATAGATATCAAAGGAGGCAACCACCTATTCCTTCCCCCCTTCCCTTTCAACCCAAGGAAAAAAAAACAAATGTCCCCAACCTCAGATATGCACGCGTGGACAGCTGTACAGAATCTTGATTGCATGCTGCCCCCAAGGTTTTGGCCATTTCATTCCTTAAATATTAATATGTAAGATCCCACTGAAGTTCCCATATCATTTTTGAGGAGGTTTCTTATGGTTAATGTCAATAAATTTTTCTTTTTACTAGTTTTACCAATAGCACAAAGGAAGGTAAACCAAGCAAGGCCGAAACATGGCCCTTCCCCAAATTCTAAGGGGCCTAGAATACAGGATCTATATCGTATGAGGTTGACAACAAATACTTTCTCAAAGAACCAGAAAGTGAAAAAAGGGCCTTACAAACTCAGTCCTCACCTTGGACCTGCTTATGTCAAACGGGATAACACCACAGTAGGGTATGATGCATACAATTATCTGCTCACCTTAGAGAAGCTATCTGCAAAAGCACGTGCACGATTGGCTTTTCCTAGGTATTGCAAATCAGCCTTTTCTAGTTTTCCATCCACAAACCTTAATCCTCCTTCATTAACAGTAAAACGCAGAAGATATCCAGAATGCAGCCCTGTCTGAAAATGAGAGAACTTAAGTTATGACAATAACAACAATACGCATGACATGAAAAGGGGTGATGTCAAGAAAAAATATAATGATCACAAAAAGAAACAGATTTGGAAATGTAGATGCAGTGCTTGGATTTACACCACATAGGCTGAGAAAAAAGCTTTGAATGCAATTTCTTAGAAATACAAAAAGTTCACTGTAGAAAAATAGCAGCAGAAGACAGGCACAGCCGCCCAAGTCCAACCTACTAATCAGTGGTAACCCTTTTATAGCCAGGAATATTGCCAACAGTTAGGTGTGTCCATATTAAGACTCAAAGGACCATATATAGATGTCATAAGATTGTTAGAAAAAATTTAAAAAAAATCTACGGAAAGGTACACTGATGTATCCCTCAACAATAAGAGCTGTGTAACCACCAAAATATATTCTAGCAGTTCCAATACCGAGTCATGGAGGAAACTCCTCACGATGCACTGATTGAAACCCACAGCAATACATAACAGATCCACCAGGCACTAACAGTTGATAATGTGACAAAAAGGAGGATTTGCTAACATGTGAGTATTTGGAAACTCATCTCTGAATGCTGATAATATTCCTAGTTAATGTAGCTGAATATGTCACAATTTCTTCTATTGACAACTGTTTTAAAATCCATAGCAAACCATTCAGCAACATTCAACTCACAACTCGGGGTAGGCGTGGTGGTTCAATTCTGACTTGGAAAGTTGGACCCAACTCCTCCATACCAGACAATTAGTCACAGCTACTTATGAGTGGACTTTTGATTTACCTCATTGAAAAAATAAAATATTTATATTTATATGAATTGCTAGTTACTATATACATGCATGCATGCAGAAGAACCATCGAGACCTAAACAACAATGAAAACTACAACTATAAGTCCCGAAACTTACTTCTGGACATTTTTTAGTAACTAAAGGGGACATTTTATAAAGATTGTACCAAAAACATCAACCACAAAAGAAAATGACAGATCTATGTAGCCGACCAAAGTAGTAGAGATTGAAAGCCTGTTAAGGAAAATTTAAAACACCATAGACTTTAAGGCATGTAGAAGTAAGTTTAAGCAAGCTCCTTCATGTATGTTCATCTAGAATGTCAATAAGCCAAAAGTTGATAGTGAGAAGGGTCTAACAAACAAAGTCATTTGCTCAACCGAGGCTGAATAAATTTAAGAACGCAATCTCGTAGGTTAACTCAAAAATTGGAAGACCAAGTGCCGAACATATCTTATTTTCCCAAAACCATATCCCTTTATGTTAAAAAAAAAAAAAACTCCAATAAAAAATTGTTAAAAACAAATGATCAAGGTTGCAAAGTAGAAAGGAATACCAAGTGGCATAAGAACAAGGATGATTGTTTCCGTTTCTTAAGAAAAAAAATAAGAACAAGATGATTAAAACCTGTCCCAGATAAGACACATAAAAGGCCTGAAGTTCTGCTCTCTCTCTCTCTCTCTCTCTCTCTAAATCTCCATATTCTCTGGCAAGTATTCTCAAATTCGACGTTCTCTCATAAGTAAAGAAAATAAATAGCTATGGAGACCAGATAGTGGGGCAATGCATGGCCTTGAATGCTTCAGAAATTGAGGGAGTGAAGTAATCTTTTGCAGTGTATATGTTTTTACTCTTTACTTCAAGCATTCATTAAGAATTCCACAATAATCAAACCTTTTGTATGAAATCCCCATTCAAGCATCCAAATACAACTGGGGGATCATCAGATGCTGTGAGTTTCCCATCATCTTGTAGTTCCAGCACCACCTGATCATCCCACAAAAGCAAGAGTCAGCTAAGATACATTGCTAATCCTCACTGTCCATGCACGAACATTTTTTGCCAAGGAGTCGCTAGAAATAAAAAAACATGTGTGCATAGGTATAAAACATGGAGGAGGACTATTAACGTATCTAACTTGGGAACTGCTTAAAAAGATCCTGAAAGTACAATCCATAAAACTCCTCACATGCAAAATATTTCATAAACTGACAAGTAAATAACTAAAGAAACCACTAAACATGACTAAACAGCAAAGAAACAGATCATCTTCGTTGACAACAAATTCCTACTAAAAAGTAGTACTCCTGATATCTAAACATTGGACCTGAGCCCATAAAATACCTTTCCATCCACAACACATATCAGAAGGCAGGTCATTCGTGCATTAACGTAAGTCGAGCTGTCGAGGTCTAATTATCTTGATAGAACATCATATGAGTCTCCAAGGCTCCAACAAAGAATGGCTATAGAATGGCTTAAATTGAACATCCCAATTTTGACACTGATATAGCAAGAAATGCTAAATACGCTCTCCTGTTAGCACCCTAATGTATTCAATTATAAGACTGTTAAATAAGGCCTCCTCAGAGTATTATGATATACCAGTTCCAAATTATGCTAAACATTCCAAGGTGGTCATCATCGTAAAAAGATTTGTTTTATACTCATATATCTTCATTCATGTTCTAACAACCATATGCAAGCCTCAACTGGAAGTGAATTAACAAAGCAATAAAAATTCTTTTCAATATAAAGCATTCAACAAATCCGCAACAATTTAATCATATAAAAGCATAGGTATGCAAGGCATTTAACGTTTAGAGTACCTGTTGTTGATGTGGAACGTGTCCTTTACTATCTGTGTCAATAACATATTTACTACAATTCTCATCCTTCCAGACTAATGCCAGAGGTGTATTTCCTGTTTGATAATGCGCATGCCTAAGATAAAAAAGTGCAAACAGCATTAGGATGATTGAAGGATAAGTTAATGTGACAACGCATGCTACCAGAATCAGAGGTTTGGCTTAGGTTCAGGTTATCATTCCACTTTCTTTGAATTATCATTCCACTTAACATTCAACAAAGAAGCACAAGTAATCCTACATTGTGAATCCCTAAAGTTTTGAATTGAATGTGCAAAGAGTACGTCTGTACTCTGTACTTAACAGCTCTTAGCACGAAGGCAGTGTTTTTAATCTTTAACTCTGTTCTTCTCCATGCAACTTCAATTTTTATAAGCCTCTTATTTGAATACCAGTTCTTCAAAACGTAACATCAAAGAAATATTTAAAAGTGTGTAACATTTATGTTGTGTGAGGAAGAGAAAACGCATCCTTGAATCTTTTGATGAAGTCCCCATGTTACACAGCCCTGGACCTAGGCAATGTTTATTAGCTAGGCCAGAAAGAATAAGGATGCAGATCAAAGTGGCTAAAAATGTATATGCAGTATGCCACTTTCCCATGGTGATGGTACATCGGGTAGGCTTAGCAAATATAGATTTCTCAAATATAAATTAGATTATAAAAACACTTATTTTTTTCCCTTCACAATGATTAGGAATGAATCTCTCCAAAACATTAAAAAATTCTTCCATTTTCAAAGGCATTCTGTTTGAGTTAATAAAGCCTGGAACAGACACCCTTTTTGTCCCAAAAAGAAATTATCTCCTTGGTCTTCATAACTATTTGTTTTGAAAAAAATGACAGAAAGGATGCTTTTGGTGGATTGCACGATTCCAAATAGATCGTCGTTCAGACTGGGTCAGTTGCATACATCTGCTAAAAAGCAAAAAACTAAAGGTACAATGTATGCACCTGATTGCCTAACAGCAATCTGCAAGACTAGCCCTGGAAACCACAAAGGTGCCAAACTAAACTGCACCACATGCAAGAGATACCAATGTATTGGATAATTGGGACACAGAGGGAATAATAAAAAAAAAATACGAACACATATTATGCATGGCAATATTAACAGAGAATTCCAAACATAGGGGCACTTTCAATAAATGTTATCTGGTACATCCTAAACTATTGAACACACGCAATTCATGATCTTGAGAAAAGAGCATTACTTGTTATAGAACAATAAACCGTCCTTTTCATATGGTACTGCCCCTGTATAAGCTATGTGAAACCCTTCTTTGTCACAGTTGTACACAGGAACCAGACTGAATCTGAATTTATGGAAAACTGAGGGAGCCTCACACGCCCTTGTCTCAACAAGCTTGTTGTTCAACCAGAAAAATCTGAATTCAGCAGTACATTCATAGAAAGAGATTCCAGCCCAGCAAACCATGTCAATCACATAGTATGTTTGATCCAACTGCAAGCCAGATCAAATGCTGAACCACATGACATTAACAAACATCCCTACCAAAATCCCAGCCTATGAAATTTTAGATATAAGTTTTACCTCATGAAATATGCAGTCAAGTATACAATATGATTGAGCAGATCGAGATATATCTTTGGTCTTGGCTCCATTGGGTAGAGCAGAAGGAAACCGATGCAAGAGAGACCCATTGCGTAGTCTACTGACTGTCACTCCATTTGATGAGACAACGAAGCATCGTTTTCCAGCAGGCCTTGCAAATATATACCTACAGCAGCCCAATCCACTGTAAAAAATCTCTCTCCACTTACTTTAACACAGTCAAATTTCAAGTTTCTCAAGGAAGCCCATAATGAAAGCCAGACATGCTTGACTTTGATACTCTTATATATTCATATTCCTTAGCAACAGAATTCACATTATACAGAAGTCCATTTCGAATTCACTTTAAGCGATATAGGACAGGTATTCATGTTACATCATGTGAAACCAAATGATAGGCAACGTGAAGAAGTTGGAGGCCGCACCACTCAACAGAAGCACAAAATAAGGTCTGCAAATATTCAGATAAAGCCCATGCTAGACCACCATTGAACCAAAGACCTCTATAGCCAGTGTCGAACTGAAAAAAAATCCCTAAATTGGCCCCAACATTCAAGTTTTGTTTAGCCTACTTAAAACAACTAATTTATCCAATGATTGTCCAACTAAGGATGTACAGAACATGTAAAAGCTCTAGACATAAACTTAAAATACCATGGTCTTCCATTAGTTTCTCCACCAAGCACGCACAGCCTGAATTTTCACCGTACCCTACTCATTTGAAACCTTAAGTACTCAATAAAACAAATAAAAATTCAACATTTCAACTGAACTTCAACTAGAGCCCTAATGCATGTCTATTAAGGAATCTGAATTCAAAACAATATCGCGGCAACATTCCAAGCATAGACTCCATACTGTCATAAATGCAACCTATCTTTATCAACAAATTCAATTCTCATCACAGAATTGACCATGTACATACCTACACACATACTAAAAGACACTCACAAAATTCATATATATATAGCTTTCATTTTTTTGAATAAAACTATTCAATTGTTAAAAAAAAAAACCTTGAATTATGCTCTCTCTCTCTCTCTCTCTCACACACACACACACACACACACAAACACGGAGTAACAATAGACGGGAACAAAAAAAAGTATAAGAGAAACGGACCAATCCTGGTCTAGGCGATCAGGAAGATCGATCATCCACTCAGGAAGCATAAGCTGTTTCGCAAACCACCGACGAGCTTCAGCTCCTCTGAGCTTCGACGCCTGACGAACATCAATATCAATAGCTTGCTGTTCCGGCTCGGACTCTTCATATATCGGTTCAGGTTCGGGCACGAGTTCGATTTCCTCCACGGCTTGAGGCTCCGGTACAGGTTCCGAGTTCTGGGTAGGGAAAGAGAGGACGGTGGAGGCCAAACAGCGCGCTTGGTGCTGAGCATCACGACGGCTCTGAGCCTGCCGGAGCAAAGAGAGATCTCGCCTTTTCTGTTGGTCTGATATCGCCGGCCGTTTGAACGGACGGCGTAGATCGTGGGGCGCCATTATCGAACCTTCGTTTCACTCACCGGGACTGAAAGTTGGGCGCCCAGGGAAGGACTGTCTTACACGACGACGTATAAAAGACTTGCCCATTTTAATAAGGGTTGATTACATTTACATTTTTGTGCGGTCCTTTAAATTACCGCAAGTCAAAATATGAAACGATTTGTTGATACGGCATCAACACAACACTTGTTCTTTGAGTTATTCATTTCGTAAACAAAAAGATTCGACATAATACAATTATATAATAAAATAAAATTATCTTATTTATACAAAATTTGTTAGTATATATGATTTAAAATTAAATTTTATTATCATTTATTCATATTATGATTTAAAATTAATTTTTATTATCATTTATTCATATTAATAGTTTCAGCCCCATATTTATTTTATGATTATGATTTTAATTTTTAATTGTTGAAATTCTTTAGGAGGAGTTATATGTAATAACTACATATATATTGGAGTTACTTACATTGGAGTTATTAGCCGTTGAAGCCAAGCATTTCATATATATATTCATGTAGCCTTAAAGGATAATGGCTATCCATTAATATATAAATAGATATGTGATCTATCTTCCTTTGATATAGAAAAACAACTTTCATATACATATTCTCCTTCATTCTTTTACTAATTTTTGTGTGTTTTGTGGATAACTTGGGTGAGATCAGTTCGTTATAGAGAGGTTTATGCCTATACCGTAGCTTCTCTCGGATTATTGTATCTTGAAAAAAAAATGTCGAAAAAGTTTGTGCGAAGGGAACGTATCTTTTCTTAGGACAACTTCATTTCGTGTCTCAATCCAGGCTACTCTAAACTTATTTTTGATCTAAGTTCCATTGAGTTTATTTGATATATTTGCATGTTTATTTAATTTATGAATCTGTGATTTTATGTTTAATTTTCTAACAAAATATAACCACAACTTACATTCTGCAGATCTACCGATTTATCTAATAACTCACATTTTAACCTTTTAACGCCAAGAAATACATATATTTTATTTTTGATCTTTTATTAACAATAAATATGTTAACTTTAACAGATATGTTAACCATACAACTTTTTAATCCATTAAATTATTTAGTTACTATTTGGCGTATTTTTAAATTATGAACTTATTAAAGTTTAATTTGTCTTAAATTCCAACATGTACAACCGTTCCTATTTGAACCAACGTAAGATTTTTAAATCGTGTTTGTTCAGGCAATTATAATAAGGTGTAAGATTACCCTGAGTTATTTTTTATGTTTTAGGATCAAAGACTTAAATAATTTTCAATTGGTAACAAAATGGACTAGAATGTAGAAAGACAATTAGAATGTAAAGTAATAGAAATACTAAATTTGATAGATGAAAAGACTATTATAGTTAACATTAAATGGGAAAAAAAATCATCAAAGTAATGGATTACAAGTTAAAGTAAATTTACTGGAAAATAAACTAAGTAAAAGAGAGGTTAAATTTATTTAAAGTTGTTGTATTGATTGAGGGATTACTTTTGGGTAATCATGCCTTCGTTATTTTACAAGAGATGAACCCTCTAGGTTTGGACTCTAACAAACTTTTTGTGTATCGTTGAATCACCTTCACATGTCACCTTGAGATTTTATTATTTTGCGTTTAACCATTTATTTATTTACTAGCAATGCACATGTGCATTGCGTGTGAAAAAAATTTAGTTCATTAATTTGTTATTAAATTTATTTGAAATACAAAGTTGATGAGTAATAAAATTGAATTATTTTTTGTAAAGGTAAGTGAATAATTAAAATACCAAGAAAAAGGCACTTAGTCTTTTAATTTTTTCAAATGTTTTTTACAATATAGGGTGTTTGAAAATGAGCAATACTATTTTGAAACTAATTTATTGATTTAATTTACTATAGTTGTTAAATTGATTGCGAGTCCCATCAAATATTGGAATTGAAAAATAATATGAAAAGTCCTTATTCGAATATAAAAAACGTCAAAAGTCATGTATGTTCAACAATAACTAAAAAAGAGGATAATAATGCATAAAAACATTGTTGAGTGGTTGTTTTTCTTGGCAATTCTATATATTCAAGGAAACAAATTCTTCTTTGTTTTCTGTCATTTTCATGTCGTTTGTATATTTGTTTCTGAATCTTCAATTTCTTCAACTTCTTGAGCAACAAATCTTCCTATTGATTGGTCGTTCTCATTTAATTTGCTCACTTTTATCAAAAAGTTGAAGTACTGCCCACTGCATAATAGTAGATTTTGATAATACATGCATTGCATTTTGTTCTGTCATGTCATACAAAATGGAGTTAGTATTTGTTTTAATAATTTTTGTATTGAGTGAGTTTGTTAACGCATACCTATTCTTTTGATTCAATGAATTTTGAAATTGGACATCCTGTAAGAGTTTGTGCTGCATCAAATAAAGTAACAGAAGCCCTTTCGTCCCCATCTGATATGATGAGTTTGAGTATATATCTATTATAATAAAAATATTATATAATGTTAATCAAATGGTTAAAAATATTTAATGGTGGTGTAAAGTTAAAAAAATGTAGGAAATTTGAAGTAACTATTGCATATGATAGTTACCTGTGAGTGTGTTCAACATTTATTTTTTCACATTTTTTGTATTATGTTCCATCTTTTGTGATGATGACCCTTTTTTGGCATTACTTACAAGCATTGTACCATGGTTCTTCCTTATTTTCTATGCTTAGAATCATTGTTTTTAAAGGGCAAAAAACAGTCTGCAAATTGTAAAAAATTTAAATATATATATATTAAAACTAAAATATAAAAATTTGTTAAGTGTAATATGTATTTAAGTCATACCTTCTTTGTGGATGGTGTTCCCTTCATGATATCAACAATTGTTACTTGTTCGGCATCTCTTTTTCTTTTTGTTAGAGTTGAAAATTGATTTTCATTCTCATCGTCTAGAAAAGTAATTAAATTGCATATTGGATTTATTATCACAAGATTTTTTTTTTATAAATAAATTTAAGGAACATCTATGTATTAATTGCAAACCATTCTTGCATTTGCTTTGCTTTTTGCAGTTCTAGATTTATTTCAATTGTCATAATAAATGTTATAGTAAGTCGAAATTCATCAGAAGTATGACAGCAAATGTCTTAGTACTGTAAATTAATTGTTTAATTCACAAATATAATTTAGTACTCACCTTCGTATATTGAGCCCTTTTCTTGAGATATTGCAATGATTAGTTTTGTGGAAGTAATTGTTCAAGTATTTGGTCTTCATTTTCTGCTAGATCCCCCCATAGGGTCAACCGTAGCGAATACAATCTATGATCTTTAGAAAATATTAAGTAAATTCTATAAGTTATAACATAAGAAAAATGTGGTATGGTCGATTCTTACTCGTTATTCTTGAGTACAAATTTTTTCATATTAGATGGGGGACCTTTTCCATCTTTGTTTATATTGGTTATTATAGTTTAAGGATACATACCATATATATCATATTCTCATCTGGTAGTGTTACTGCATCTATGAAAGAGATGAAGTTATATAATTGTTCTTAAGATGTTATTTCGCTTTCTCCTTCCTTGACTTTAGTTAAGATTGTTAGTGTCAATTCAATATTCTTGTAAGCACTTGTGTATTTTGGGTTTATAGGCTTTATTATACCATTGCAAACAAAGTATGTTTTATCTTTGATAAAAAGGTTTCTGAATTTGGCGACTACATTGCTAAACATCAACGCTTGTATTCTTGTACCCTGAAAATTTTTTGTTTTTATACTGGTAAGCTGTGATAATAAGATCTGTCAATTTAAAGTTTTTATGTATATGATTGTAAGTTGTTCTAATAATGTATGTGATTCGAATTTATTAAAAAAGGTGTTATGTTATGTTTTATTTAGATTCATTGTTCTATGTTTTTAAGTTACTTTATTTTTTGTTATGTTTTAAAGTTTATTTCGAAAAATTGTTATGTTTTAAAGTTGTTTTGTCTATTTTTAGTACATTGTTATGGGACACAGGAAGAGACATAATTTGATATAAAAAAAAAAAGGAGTTCGTCATTCTTAAACAAATTGACATAGTTGATCGAGAAACCTGAACCTAAACTTACTTTTTTAACAGTTGCGCATTGATAGGATAAGAGCCTTAGATATGAAGTATAGATAATACTTTTTTTTAATATAATGGTAGACTACCCACTCTTTGATTGCTAAAGAGGTGGTTTCTAAACCGTGGTCCCAAACTTTATTTTAATCTTTTTTCTTATTCTTATAATTAAAATAACGCATTTTTGTAACATACAATTTTAATTTATAATCTTATAATAGAATATGAGGAATGAAAAATTAAATTTGATTACAGAGTATTAAAATTTAAATCAATTCCAATTGCTTTTTTAGAAAATTAATCAAACAGGATTGGGGTTGTTTGAGAGTAAGTTCATGCACATACTCAAAAGACTCATTCTTTATATTTTATCTAAAAATTGGTACTAGTACATTAAAGTTTTTTTTTTTTTTGGTGTCATACCTAACTTTAACTATTTTTTAATCTTTTTTCTTATAATTAGAATAACGAATTTTTGGAACATACAATTTTTATTTATAATTCTATAATAGAATATGAGCAATGAAAAATTAAAAAGCTCTTCACTCAAAGGCTTTGTTGTATCTTAGAAGTGATTTGTGAAGAACCCTCTAACAAATTCTTTGAGTGGGAACAATCAAAATCTTGAGTATATTTTATTTTCAATCTGTTCAAGCCCAATTTTCACAAATTACTTTCCAACATTCAATCCAACACAAGGGTGATGCTTCCATACAAGGCCTCCTAAGGTATCATTCTATTACTGGCGAGAAGGTGCTATTGTACACAAACTTCTCCATTCATAAGTGTTCACACCAGCTTTCTTTGAAAACCAAAGAACAAGTTAATCATCATATCCTTCACAATTTATATCCCCGTCTCAGATTAGTCACCATTTGAGAATACGAATTTGTACTAAATTTTAGTTGTGTCACCATGCCTCATGGTAAACTTAGTTGTGTCATCATGCCCCAGAGACTATAGGCGATGGATATTTTAGAAAAAAA